ACTACTGCCGCACGGTGTCCCTTTCTGTGCTAAGAAGAAAGGTAACCCGTGAAACAAAGACTAGTATTAACAAGAACGATGAAACTTCCTTTAAAGTCATCCATAATTATATATTTATTTTGTGAAACGTAAAACTACTTATAAATACATTTATATGAACATGCATACTCAAAAATGTGTTAATGCCATTGATTTTGTATCTCATTTGTATTCATGCTTGTCTTATCCAATTCTTTTGATTATGTGGTGTTCAGGATGTCTACTTATGGAAGCTTGTTTGAAGAGTTAGATGTTGCAATACTGCCTAAGAAATAATATAAAGAAACTGTTAAGTGATAAATCTCACGTCGAATAAAGATGAAAATATAGATTACCTTATAAAGACTTGAGCCGCCCTTCTTAATATGGTTGGCATTTTAAGATGGAACCTCAAATCTTAACTTGAGATAAGAGCCCATTAAGTTTCAATAAACAATTCAATCCGATTAAGGCTCAAAAAATGAGCACACAAATTTCAAGACTTGTTGCTCAAATGAACAACCATCTCGTAGGGACAAATCTTACATGAAATAAAGATGGAAATATAGACCAACTTATAAGGATTTTGATTATTTCTATTAATAATGTTACCTTTTAAGACAAGTTGTTGGTATTAACTCAAATCAAATACCACGTGCACAGAATGAATTGACCCAGAATACACATTCAGTAGAATGTAAAAACAACAACAAACTGTTTATCCAGTTCGACAAAGCCTAATCTGGGGGCTCAGAGATAAACCAAGTCTATCACTATGCAAGAACCTTCAAGAGAGAGTGCTAAAAGTCTGGACAACCAAGACTCGGACAGGAACACTTCAAAATGACCATCGATCGACAAATGGATCTCCCAAATCACCTATACCACACATGAATCAGAAACCCCACAGTCTAACTAGTGCAGATTTATCAATTTCATTTGTGGTCCAAATGAAACCTAAAATACTGAACAATACACAAGATTACAGGCTCAGTAAGTGAGACTCAACACAGGACCAAGATCTAATACTGCTCAAGAAGTGGAAGTAAAACCCTCGAAAAATCAATAAAATCGCCTCACTTAGAGATGATGAAAAAACCTGTAAACCAGAAGCCAAAGAGAAAATATGACGGTACAGTAGCCAAAATGAATATTTATACTTCAATCCTCAGCCTTAGATCAAACCTAACGGCCTAAGTAAGTCCCAAACTAAAACAGATTCGGGGGGAGTTAAATGAGCCAATAAGATCACGCCAAGTGGGCAGGCCAGCAAAAAACCCATTTTCACTTTTAAAACTGGGTTTTAAGAACCACAACTCACACAAGTCTTAAAAGAAACTACCAAAGAATGGAAAACAGGACCCAATTTCGTGAACTCCTAGAACAAGGATTGCCACTGTCTTGAAGAGCCCACATCTATAGTTCCCGTCACCTCTAAAATTTATGAGTCATCACGCGATTCAAAATTCAAGTGGAGAGAATTGGGAAAACAACCTTTCGGGTCGGGGAACATATCTAGACTCCCATTCTGAGCAATAGCTACAATATAAACACAAGTAAAGATCGTTTGTAAATTGAAACAAATATCCCCAGTTTGAAAATTGTTAAACAAATAATATATTTGAAAAAAAAAATCCTCAATTTCAAAATCAGTCTTTCACGTGGAAAGCTCCACCATTATCCTACATTTGGTCACATACCAGTCTCTGGTACACTGAAAAAACACACCTACTAAGCAAAAAAAAAAAGCCAAAAATGAGTATGAAGTGGAAAGTTCAAGATGAAGAATTGTGCCTATAAATCAACCAAAAGTTATAGCAACGGCCAATGTGCCTCTTGTATCATCTTTCACCAATTACTCTAATCCGGTAGTTGGATTTGTTTCTGTAGAATCTGCTGAAGCAGAGAGGTGAAGAAGATGTAGGGAAAGACTGAAAAGGAAAACTCACGAGAGTAATGTGAGGAAGATAAAATGAGAATCTTATTGATAATGAGGTGTAATGATGTATATATATATATACACATCCATTTCACTAAAAGACAGAAGAAACTAATTAGCTAACAGCTTTACTAATTGTCAACTAATCTAACTGAATTCTGGTAATGACACAAATATCCCTGCACATTCTATTTACTCTGCAAGACTCCCCCTCAAGATGGCTTGTGGATATTTAGCACACCCATCTTGATTAACAACATTTGAAACCTTGCTCCCCCTAAGGCCTTGGTTAACAAATCTGCTAATTGGTTTTGTGTGGACAAATACATCATTCTTATATCACCAGACTGTACCTTTTCTCTTACCAAGTGACAGTCCAACTCTATGTGCTTGGTCCTCTCGTGAAAGACCGGATTGTTGGCTATATGAATCGCCGCCTGATTGTCACAGAACAAAAGAGCAGCGTTAGAATGTTGAACCCCCAAATCTGTCAATATGTTTTTGAGCCAAACCATCTCACAAACTGTTGCAGCCATGGCTCTATATTCAGCCTCAGCAGAGGACCTTGAGATGGTGTGTTGTTTCTTTGATCGCCAAGATATCAAAGAGCTCCCAAGGAATACGCAAAAACCTGTAACAGATCTCCTGGTATCTACACATGATGCCCAGTCAGCATCACAGAATCCTCTAAGTTCTAAATTCGAATCTGCAGCAAAGAAGAGTCCCTGCCCTGGTGTTCCTTTAACATATCTAAGTACATGATGTGCAGCCTCCAAATGTGGCTTTCTAGGAGTTTCCAAGTATTGACTTAGAACTTGTATGCAGAATGACAAATCAGGTCTGGTGATGGTCAGATACAATAACCTTCCAATCAACCTCCTGTACATACTGGGGTCTTCCAGCATCTCACCTTCATCCTTAGTTAACTTCAGGTTCTGTAACATAGGATNAGCTTTAGTCGGTCGAGTAGCTAGGAACCCCCTTTCTAGCGGCAGAGATAAAGTTGAGTTTGTACATAGTCGATCTGGTTCCCTAACTTTGCTTTGAAAGTCAATCAGTTCTCTTCTCTGGTATTGATGCCACCTCAAAGTCGATTTTTTGGAAAGAAAGGTCTAGCATCCAATAGCTCAAGGAGGGAGAAAAAAAGATATTAATGAGATGCCCTTCGCTCTTCGCTTTGGGTAAGATGCCCCAAACTTACCTCTCGCTTCGGGCTAGCTACCTTGCCCTCCTCAGGTCGGGTTTTATGCCAGTAGCCCCTATCCTAGAACGACTTATCTTTGAAAGTCGTTATTTCTTCTATGCGTGAGGGGTCCTGGATGGAATATTTTTGTTCGAATCCCCTAGCCCCTTTGTGGCGACAGTTCCCATTTTTTGAAGTTAGATTATCGATAAAAGGGACGATGTAGTATCTGCTTTTATGGCTTTCTTGTTGTCTTTGGCTTCTCTTTGAATTCTATTTCCTAAACTAACCTCTCCTTTTTGCCTAGCCTGAAGTAAGTGGCATAGAAGTAAGTTCCCTCACATCCTAGTCATGAGAAGGGGACATTGCAACTTCAAGACATTTGAGAAGCCGAAAGGAACTAAACCTTTGAATCTACTTCAAAAGAATGACTTTTTTCTAAAACAAACCGGAAGATCGAAGTCAAGCCTACACCTCCTCTCCTAGTCCTCTCCGCCGAGCTAGTCTAGTTCTAACCTCTCTTCCTTGGGTTCACATCCTAACTTCTTCCCTTTCAAAGCTAAACGACTCTGTAGCTAGGCTTAACGATGGAGAACATCTCTTCTCTTGTATTGATGGGGATGCCTGTTTGAAGAATCTTTCGAGGAAGGTGTAATGAGATTAATCCCCTTTTATATTACCCGCGGCTAATCAAGGAAGGATTATCTTTCTTTCTCTCTCTCCCTGCCGGTCAAGCCCAAGTGCCCCGCTCATTCCACTCCGTTCTCTTTTTATTCTCTGTTTCACTTCTCAAATGTATCAATAAAAGATGATATGTCCCCCCGTGAAATGACATAAGAGAAGAAGTTTTTTCAGGAGGCGGCTCATTTATCTTATTAATAAGTGAGTTCGGGACGCAATTCCCTGTCCTCCTTTGTCTGATCTTGAGGGTATAGAGAACGTCGATTAAGCACACTTCGCTCAATGCGAGGATCACAAGCTCTCACTAGAAAGATTGGAAACTATGAGAATGCCCAGAAGCTCGCAGTCTAATCTTAGTGGAGACAAGAGCAGGTAGGGTCGCACCCCAGGGGATTTATATCTCGTGGAGCAGGCAAAGCCCCGGTTACGTCAGACTCTATTGCTACCGGCTAGAGCTCCATGATTAGACTCCTTTCTGTACAAACTCAGCAGCATTGACCTGGTAAAGAAAGTAGGTGATTACTTGAACTCCAGTTTCAAGGCAGGACTCGATAGCATCCTTCCGTACGTTTGATACTGCAGGCGAGCCTTGCACGCATCTCGGGTACATACACGACCGGGTCAGGGGGGCTTGCAATGAACCTCTTGCCTTCGACCCATGCCAATTGAATAATCGAACCCTCACTCACTTACTCCCACTACTCTTCAGTAAAGAATTGAAGAAAAGAGAAGTTATATACCATCATTGTTTGAAAGCCGCATTAATTTGATTCGGAGTAATGGTAACCTCTTGAGTTGGCTGCTGGGTTCTTAGCTTGTTTGAATTGACTGAATCAGGAACTAGCCTAAACTAAAGGGTGCATTCCTAAGGAGAAGCGTAGGCTCGGTGCTTCACTCAATAGAAGCGCGGAGAAAGGCCACTCATCGAGCCCTATAGCGCGCATCGGGCTTCAAGAAGCAGACTAGGACAGGCATTGAAAGCGCTCGCCTTCGGTTCCCTACTCAGGAATTAGCCTAACGGCAGAGCTTTTGCTGCACTCAACTAATAATTGTTATGATGATAGTATATATAAGGTAAAGCAGGAATAAGACCGAAGCGGATAAGCTCCTGCTAAGCTCAACTCAAAAGGGCTCCACAAGCGCGATAGAAGAGTACTTAACGTGCGTTGAACGAGCAGCAAGGTTTTTCGCGATTTTTCCGTAATAAAGTAAAAGACTGTTCCTGCTGCGAAGTTTACCACTCCGCTAACGCTATGTGATCCGGTCAAGGTAGCTTGCTTACTTAGTGCTTGTGCTAAGGAGAATCGAATGGTCTTTTTCCACTTGAAAATCCCTTTCCATATCATTATATAGGCATATATATAGGAGTCACGACTGACGACGCCCTGTGTACTGTAAGCAAGTTACTCCACCAAGAGAAGATAGAATCCATCAACATCAAGGGCATCCCCAATAGCATTAGCTAGTTATATGCAAATGACAGTCAAGGAAAGAATCGGGTCGGGAAAGAAGACTGGAGTTGATGCTGAACCAATTCTTCCATTCCAGAGGAAGAAGAAATAACATTCCATGCTGCGAGGCATCGCTTTTGACCGCATTTATTCAGCGGTGCTCGCGCCATTTCCTATTGCTTGCTCCATTATTCCCTCACTGGCACATGCTCCGGGCTCCTGCTTTGCCTCTCACCCATCAACAAATGAATGTGTTGCGACTTACTTAATTTAATGAAAAAATATTTTCGATCAAAGCAGGAACATCCTCTATATATGAATATGTAAACCACACCCTTGAATTAATAAATCGGCTAAAAACTCTATCCCCTGGTGGGTGCCACAAATGGGTTCCCACTTCATCGCGGCAGCTAGCGGAGCAGGCATTGCTTGGTTCCCGAATGGGTCTGGCTTCCAGCGAGTGTGCCCCCCCATAAGCTATAAGGGCGAGCTTTACGTGATAGGGGCGAATTCTTGCATCGTTTCATAAGACCACTTAACAATTCACCATTTCTACCCCACTGCTAATGTAGATTAATCTTCTGTAGGATAGGCAAGGAACCCAGGACTATTAGCTGATTTCTTCCCCCATTCAATACTATTCGAATCTCTCTAGGTTAAGAAACTATATTGAGAAATCTATTTTGAATCCACAGGCGCTGGAGATTAATTCGGGTTCCTCAGCTAGCTGACATGTATATCTCTTCCTGGTTAGACATCCACCGGGGGTAGAGGGAAGGCTTTTTCAGGTGAGTGATCTTCCCTGATATTCAATCCATGCTTCTCTACCCGAACAACTCATCTTCACTAAAAAACTACTATTTATTAGATTCGCGAGGGGATTCAGGGACTTTTCAGGTTAAGTCAATCGTTGGAACAAGAGACGTAAGAAAAAACAATTTAGGGAAGGAGGCTCGATGGAATTGACGAAGCGGCAGGAACAACTGCACTTTTTACTATTATTTTATTCCGCGGGATTCTGCCTTTACTGCTCGTTCCGGAACCGTCGAGTAGATTCAATGCAGTCAGTCCGGTCAGAGGAAATGCTCGAACTGGCCAGTAAAGAAGAGTATCGGATTGGACGGTCGAACAATAAACAACCATTCTTGTCTTCACCTTCTTCCTCAGGAAATTACAAACCTTTTTGGCCGAACTATCTGTCTTTTATGCCCTCACCCCCCAGAGAAATAAAAACAAGCATGAGTATTCTACAAACAACAAAAAGACAGCTATGCCTTAAAGCCTTTCGCTCGAGCCTCTTGTCTTGAATACAGTCCATCGCCCCTAATAAGGTAAGGCGGAATAACAACCTTCGGAACATCTTCCGTTTCCCTAAGTGCCATGGATAACTGGGAAGATTCTTTAACAACGGATTTCGCCAACAACAAACTCCTTCTTGTTTGACAGCTCTTTCAACAGCTCGCACACAATGATATTGCGTATAATGATTACAGAAGATTTGCAGATTGCTAAGGATAAAGATTTATCAAGTCCAAGTCCGGGAAGTCTGTTTCGGTATCAATCCCTAAAAAACTTTCCCAAAAATGACTGTCCGTACCTAACGGGGGAGTATTTCCAGATGATGCAATACTGGCCTCAGTTTCTTAGTTTTCAGCTTGAGGATCTTTTCTTTATTATAAAGGTTTACAATTTCTTAGTCTAATCTTGGCGGATTTGTACACTTTGCCGTCAAGCCTATTTATTACAAAATCTCTCGAGGTATTACTCCTTTGGGGGAATTCAAACAAAAAAAAGTAAAAACATTTAAGTTTTTCACTCTTATTGCTTCAATCCAGCAGAGAGGTGAAGAAGATGTAGGGAAAGACTGAAAAGGAAAACTCACGAGAGTAATGTGAGGAAGATAAAATGAGAATCTTATTGATAATGAGGTGTAATGATGTATATATATATATATACACATCCATTTCACTAAAAGACAGAAGAAACTAATTAGCTAACAGCTTTACTAATTGTCAACTAATCTAACTGAATTCTGGTAATGACACAAATATCCCTGCACATTCTATTTACTCTGCAAGAGTTTCTACACAGATTCCCTAATTGTCGCGTCTGGTGTTCCTCCGACGAGCAGCAGCAGCAGTGTCCTCTTTCTTGTCTTCCTTCTCCTCAGTAGTTCCCTGGTTATTTGAGGTTTCAGTTGTATCTGTTTTCTCTGTCTCTGATCTAACTTTAGCCTGCAATCAATATTAAAAAAAATAAAAAATAAAAATTGTTTAATTATATCCCAGAAGTGATCTGAGAAGCAAAACATGTTTATGATGTGACCAAAGGATTCCAGATACTAACAAGCTTCTTCTTCCCACCAAAGATGACCTTCAACAACACTGTGAAGATAACAACTACAATGGATGCAACTATACCAATTGTAAGGTTTGGCTGCTTCTCAGCATTCTCAAGAATATCCTGCAAGAAATAAGCTCAATTAAGTGACAATCGCAACAACAAAGCATATAACATGCTGCCAAAAACACAACAATATCTTCATAAACACTAACCAAAACTTTGGTCTTGTGATCACCCAAGAAGGGAAGATCCGCAATCTTGTAAAGACAGTCAAACACTGGTTTCTGAAACAATTAACCAGAACAAGTTAAGATTTAGAAATAGCAGCAAGCAAAATGTGGAAACCATGAGAAATAGGACAATCTTGACTGAGCACCTGGACTCCCTAAAGACCATCTGAAACGGCAGATTCCTCAGCATTCTGTCTCTCTCTGCTTCAAATTTCGGCTTCCATGTAGTCTCTCGGTAGGTTTGTGCAACTTTTTCATCAGAGGCTATTAAAAGATTGTCAAACAGTATACCATCCTGCATTGTCCAAATTTCAATGCCGATAGCCGCAATCGGCTCAAAATTTGGTTTCTCAAACTCGAAGTATTCAGGGTTTCCAATTAGCTGGGGCTTCCAAATACCCTTGTAGTTGGGATTTTCAACAAGGGGAGCATGCCATTTCCCCTTGTATGCAGGATTCCTTTTCATTGGCCTCTTCCACTCCCCACATCCAAGTGCCTCTTCACATTTGGGGTTATCAATCTTTGGAGCCTCCCATTCACCATTCTCCTCCTCATCCCAATCTTCGGGTCTTGTTGCCTCGGGATCAACGATCTCCTCAGGCTCATCATCCAACCATCCCTCAGGCTTCACAACATCCTCATCTTCAATGTCCAGTGGAGCATCCTCATCCCAGTCATCCGATTTCTTTGCATCTGGGTCTGGAATTTTTGCCCTCTCATCCCAATCCTCGGGCTTCTTATCATCTGGGTCAGGAATTGTCTTGGGAGGGATGAGTGGCGGCTCAAAATCATCATTGGAGAGAAAGTTAGCCGCCTTCTTTTCTTCCCCATCAATCAATATACACAACTCATTATCTGGTTTCAAAATTGCAGTATAAACATGAGTTAATTTGTCAGAATGCACCGACGGAGGAAACTTGAGGTGGTGTTCAATATACTTTCCACTCTTGGGGTTCTTGTGCTTCAAGATGAAGTGAACCTTGTTCGTGGCCCCACATTTATCGGGCCCAAACATTATTGTGTATGGAGACTCATTATCAAATTCCTTAGGAGTCCACCCAGCATCCTAGGGACGGAGATATTTGATATAGGCACCACCACATTCAAGGCCATTCTGGAATTGAACCTCATATTGAAGGACAGTAGTTACATCCTTGAGGTTAATAAGCTCATCAACTTCCTTCACAATGGCATGCTTCTTAGCCTTCTCATTTACAAGAAGCCCATAATCATCATGCCCCTCACTCTTGGCATGTTTCCACACACCTGACAACCAATCAAACATCAGAATAAAATAGAACACATCATACACAAAAATCATAGGGTATTAGCTGAATGCAAATATGCTGCATAACTGCTCCACAACATAAAAAGATACAACAGCCGGAGTCACAGATGTATTGTTAATCAACTAATCGTCAGATGGGCGTTCCACCAGGAAACACATATATGAATAGTTGAATACATGATCCTACTTCATGACAAGCCCAGTCTTCACTTAGCCTCTGTTTGAGCCCCATTTCTTGAGAATAGATTTTGTAAAAAGTAATTTTTTGTTTTTTTTGGAGAATGTGAATTAAAAAGTAGGAAAACTTTTTGAGTTTAAGTGCAAAATTATTTTATTGGAAAAATGTATGGTTGAAAATGAGTTTTAAAGAATGGGGCTCAAACAAGGGCTTAGTAAATAGTCTCAACAATTTCAATGTAGTAAGCTCAACAAATTGTCAAGACAAGGCAATAGCAATCTTTCCACATGTACAAAAATTTCCAAACAAATTCATTTGGTCCCCTATTTGGTTTGGATTAAAATCAGATTTTTAGTAGATTTTGATAAATTAAGATAAAATGTATGGTTGAAAAGTTTCTAAAAGTTATGTGCCAATAAAACGTGTACTAGAAAATAAGTATGAAAAATGAGTTTTAAGAAATGGGGGCCAAACAAGGGCTTAGTTACTCAACCAATTGAGTTAAACAATTGACTAAATCGAATCCACATATCAAGCAAGATTGCCATCCAACCACACTTCATGACGAGCTCAATATTCATAGCAATAACCCAAATTCATTAGCCTCAGCAATTTCAATGCTGTAAAAGGAGATTCTCGACAAAATGTAACCAGAAGGCTGTGACCATCTTTCACAGATACAGAAATTTCAAAAAAATTCCACATTGGTAACATAGGCAAGACTACAATTTTAGATTAGAATTAATAGATACTTACAGAAACCATGCATTTTCGCAATAAGCCACCACATACAGAATAATAATACAGTAATACTTTTAGCATATAATATTAGATAATCTTGTCATACATGAGTCGAAATTTGTAACTACGCAGAAATTACAGAATTCTAACGAGAAAAACATAATATAGAAAATGAAAATAGTATCTATAATGAAATTCACCATAAATCCAGTAGAATCAGACCTTTATAATCCTCTTTCTCGGACACAACCCAGCTCCCCTCCAATGTATGATCAAATGACTCGTAGAATTTCTGTGAAAAAAAACATGAATTTCTACGAAAACAATAGAGATCCAAAAAATATTGAATCGACATACAGTAAACAATATGCCGACAAATAATTGTACTAAAAGTGTTGGCGTATGAACATATACGTTCGCTTACCACGTCGTTTGAAGCATTGAGCTGAGAAACGAAGCAACCTATAGATAACGACAAAAAGCACTGTATGATCCATATCTTCCGCTTCCTATCCTCCATTATTGGGCCAAAAAAAGAAGAATTAAGCTATATTTACAGGGAAATGGTTCACAGGGCAATTACAGGGCACTCACAAAAAGGCGGGCCCCACATGTTTTAAAAAAAAAAAAAATTTAATGCGGGCCCTACCTTGTATCTTACCTGGCAGGGACCTGTGAAGCAGGTCCCTGTACAGCAAGCATTGTTCAAAAAAGAACTCCAAATTTAATATTCCAAAAATCAAAAATAAAAATTGGATAAATAGATCGAGAGGAAGAAATGTCTAGAAAGAGTACTTTGGTAAGAGAGCCATTGGGTCGACTTGTATCGACCGACGATAACTCATGCCCTGTGAAGTGAAGGCTCAGGGAACTCACTACATTACTTCTTAATTTAAAAAGTCACTTGTAAGTCGTAACTCACCCAAATTTGAATAAAATTACTCATTAATCACCCGTATCATTTCCATAATTGTTAATTATAGTAAAATTTAGTGAGCAATGAGTAATTTTGTTCGAATTTAGGTGAGTAACGAGTAAACTTTTAAATGTCAGTAAGTAAGTAGTAATATATAACAAAATTCAATGAGCAACAAGTAATTTTTAAAAGATTGATAAGCAAATAGTAACTATTGCAAAATTCATTGGCTGTTGATTAAACTAACTCAACTCTGGAGCGTAGTTATCATTGTGTTACTTTTAGGGTGATATAGGTTGAGAAGAAAAATGTTGGAGCCCATTTCTTCAGAATATTTTTTGTAAAAAAATATTTTTTAAAAAAATAAAGAATTTTTTTTAAATTTACGTAAAAAATTATTTTATATGAAGAATGAATAATTAAAAATGAATTTTAATTTAGAAGTTCTAAATAGTGAATATCCATTTTCAGTGTAAGTGGATCCCAATGATAAAAAATCATCATTTGTTTTTTGTATAGAAGTATCCTGTGTTCGCTCATTTTATAACATTTAGGTTTACCAAAGCTAAATAGAAAGGACAATCACCATGTTAACAAATGATACTCGACTCGTAATTATAAGTTTTTGCTATACGGTTTAAGGAGAGAAGAATGAATTTACTTCTCTATCCATTTTTTAGAAGTTCTAAATAGTAAATATACATTTTCAGTGCAAGCGAATCACGATAATAAAAAAACATCATTTTTTGTGTATTGAAGTTCATGTGATCGCTCATTTTATAACATTTGGGTTTACCAAAGCTAAATAGAAAGGACAATCACCATGTTAACAAATGATACTCGACTTGAAATTATAAGTTTGTGTCAAACAGTTTTAAGGATAGAAGAATGAATTTACTTCCCACGTATTTGTTAGTTAAAAAAAAAGAAAATTTTAAACGAAAGTTCAGCTGAAGTTAAAAGATCTTGTTAAATAAAGAGAGATGGGGGCTGGACTTGAATGATAATAATCTACGTAACGTGGACACATGCAGGTGAACTGAGATAATTTGTAGTGTCTTTGGTCGTCCTTTTATTACCTTTTCGAGACTCTGACATTATCTCTTTTTAGTAAATGAGAAAACGTCAAGGTGTAATGTATTAATGTATCAAAAATGTGTTGACATAAGAAGAAATTATATCCTGAGATGTAAAAATATATTGAAGAGACAATCTTGTTAGAGAACAATAAACTGGGGATAGCAGATGTAGAGTCCATGCGTGCGGCCCAAACTGGCGAGAAGGCGGACAGTTTCAAAACTATCAGACCTCAATGGCTTCACCTCACAAAGAACCAATATATATTAGCCTTGCTGAAGAGGACCATTGAGGGAGATAGTTCAGAGAATGCTGGCTTTCTTTGCTAATTAAGCCACTGATTGGTGGTCTTTTTTTTTTTTTTTTTGGAAAAATATTGTTTTAAATAGTGAATTTTTTGAAAATGTAGAGTTAAAAAGTAAGAAAAAGATTTGGGTTTACGTGTAAAATATTTTATTTTGTGAATGTGTGGTTACAAATGAGTATATAGAACAAAAAAGAGTAATGATATCCATCTCTACTGGGGTTGAGCCCAGTCTATGTGGCAATTATATAACATTAAATCATAGATTCGTTTAAATACAAAATCACATGACTCATTTAATTGAGTATATCATTTAATGTCGTGTAATTGTCATATAGACTAGTGTTCAACTCCAGTGGGAATGGATAACATTATTAAAAAAAATATGGAAGACAGATAGGGGTTAAATAAATAATTTTCGGAAGTTTTTAGAGGAGAGAGGAGGCAGGGGGTTGAGTTGTGTTGGCGTGTCTACTATTTATACTACATATTTCCTTGCTATATTAGGGTATTACCGAACTATGATAAGTAGGTTATGTCTCACTGCCTCGAAACGAAGGAGAGGAAATTCCAAAGATATATAAATGCATTTTTTAGTAGAGCTGTATTATGTGATTACTAATCAAGGCAGTGAGACATAACCTACTTATCATAGTTTGGTAATACCATAATATAGCAAGGAAATATGTAGTATAAATAGTAGACACGCCAACACAACTCAACCCCCTGCCTCCTCTCTCCTCTAAAAACTTCCGAAAATTATTTATTTAACCCCTATCTGTCTTCCAT